TTCAACGATACGATGTAATAAAACAATTAGTTAAAGCAAATATGATAAGAGTTGAATAATACTACGCACACCTACGCGCTATTGCGGATATTTATAATCGATTTTATCGAAATATAGCCACGTCTAAATGAAACGAATCATCACTTATAAATGTTAACACATAATACTATAAAATTACATATTAAAGATCTTAATCAATAATCACACAAGAATTGTGTATTTCACAACATCCAACGCGTCCTGTAATCGATGATACAAAGAATGATTCTACGTGAAAATATAGAAATAAAATTTCTCCATTTCAAGCGTTTTTTTCCCCAAAACAAGTTTTTTTCAAAACAAGTTTGAAAACTTTTCAAATACAACTAAAATTAACTCCTTCCCGATCAGATACGAATGAATTATCGACACTGAAATATCACGAGAGTACATTTCCCTGTCCTCTCCTTTCTTAAAATAAAATTTAACTTTATAAAAGGATATAAATTCCACCGCTTATCATGGATAATCGAGTATCATAATAGAGCTTTAAAAAAAGAAATCACATCTCCCCTCCCTTCCTATAACTTATGCTCTCTACTTTTTTATATTCGCGCATGTAGATCAAACACGAGTGGCTGTAGACGCGCAGAGTCTTCCAAGTGTAAGATCGTAAGCGTAAAACAGCGTTGGCGCATGGTCTCACGGTGCGTCACGCAACGCGTGGGCACTCGTTCGTTCCGTGACTGCACAAGCTTTACGAGGGTCTCGCGAGTACGTGTAAATTGGAATCCTCCTCCTCTTCTCGACGCGCGTTTCCCGCGCGGTAAAAAGCGGAAGATCCGTTTCGAAGAAGTTTTCGTGCCGTCTCGCGTGCGTTTAACGATCGCATTGTTTTTTTTCTTTCTTTCTTTCTTTCTCTTTTTTTTCCACATCACACGTACCACCGGCGACGACGAGTTCATCGTCGTCGAGTCGAGGAGATAATCGTCCTCGAAGCATTTCCTCTCGATCGATTTAGGAGATGGATTTCGTTTTTATCCTGCCTTGTCTTTTCCTTCGTTTTTAAAGTTCATTTCAATCATTGGTTCATGCGGTTTCGAACGTTTATTTGAATTGGAATTACGGTTGCTTTATTTAGGGGAGGATGGAACTCGAGGATTTAATGTTTCGGGTGTCGATATCGGTTTTTTCTTTATTGAACGAGAGAATGGTTAATCAATACGATTTTGTTAAATTCTCTTTTCGATTCTTCGATTCGTTAATTTCCAATCTTTATTTTATTCCTCCCTTTCCTAAGAGAATATTCCTGTATCACTATTGCAAAACTTATCAGGAGATAAGAATTTCCTTTAAATTCTCTTGCAATTGCGATTTCTATAAAAATTTCTTGTTATAATAAAAATATTAAAAACTTCTTCTCGAAACAACCCTCTCTCGAATCCTCCTCCCCTCGAATCGTTCACGATCTCCCCCTGGGAACCGAGTGGTCGCGTAAAAATGGCTGTAAATTAGGCGGCGGGACGTTTACGTGTATGCACGCGAGCCTCTCGTGGTCTTTGCGGTCGGTTGCGTGGACATGATTCGCAAACAGTCGCCTCGCCTTTGTCGAGGAATCGAACGGGTTGGCGCGAGGCAAAGTTGCTGCACCAGACAAAAACGGAACAAAAGCACAGGCGGAGAGGGAGAGAGGGAGAGAAAGGGTTGGGCACGGCCTGGTTGAGCGGGGCTAGGGCCGCTAAATATTTGTCTCGAGGCGTGTACACTTTGAGGCTTCGATTGTTTTGGGACGCGCGTCGAAGACAGGTTTAACGATCGGCGACCGATCCCTCTGCGAAAGTCGCGCGCTCGTATTTGCTCTGAGCGGTGAGCTGACAGAGCTCACTCCGTATCGCCTCTTTTTCTGGGCCCGGGATTTTTTTCCACGATTACTCGGATTTTCTGGGAATTTTTTTGAACGCGGTTGAAACAGCATGAATTATTCCTTCGAGTTTGCTCGGGTAAAAAGTTTGAGGAAAAATTATTATTTGTTTCTTTATTTGTTTCTCACGATACAATTCCAAGCTATTAGGGGCTGTTCTATTCCTATTCGAGGTTCGACTTGCATCGTACAATTAATTAATTACAGTTATTCGCTTCAATAGATAGCATCAACTTTCCATTTCTTGATTTCGTACGTCTCGTATTTTTTTTTTTCTCTTTCCAATCAATTTCCAATGAAAAGAATATCGAGGAAAATTTTTTCGATCACTTTCGTATCAACCGTCTGGAAGAGGTTCATCCAGAAGGCCGATAACTAGGTCTAGTAATCTTACACGTTTCCCTCGAAAGCCCCTCTATCCAGGATCCTCTCCAATTTCCCGTGTCCCACAATGAAGCGAGCTATTGAAGCCGAACAAACGCGCATCATACATCCATCGGTCAGGAGGAGGATTTTTCAAAATAGAACGGTTGCAAAAAGGGGGCTCCTCGAGGGAGAGCAGGAAGGTAACGATCGGGGCTAACGAGATTGATTCCGCGGCGTAACAAAGCCCTTGCCTTCGAATCGAAGGACCTCGAATCGAAAAGAAGAGAAGCTCTCTCTCTCTCTATATATATATATAGAAAAAGAAGACAGAGAGATAGAGAGAGAGAATCTTAGGATGAAAGAGGATAGGAAGAGGACACAGGTCGAGCGTGACGAGCGTCGATTCCTCCAAAGATCGGATAATAATTCCCGACCAGGCTCAACGTCGATCGAATCTTGACGAGGTTAAAGTCCAGAGGCCTGGTCCCGTCCATCCGGGACACGTATTCGTTCCCTCGATATACACACGTATACACGTAGTAGGGGGGGTTGGGTGCAAGTGGGTGCAAGTCGCTTGGTGGGAAATGACGAGCTGGCGAGATGTATTCCTCCTCGAGGAGGAGTAGGAAGCCGATCGAGAGGAAGAAGTGGTGGAGGGAGGAATGATAGGGTGGAGAAAGGGAGGGGAAGTGGGGAGGAAAGCAGGAAAAAGGTGGAGGGAATAGAAAGGGGATAGAAAGAGAGGAAGGGATCCGGGGGCCGTTTGTACGTCTAGACGTAGGTTCGTATTTGCTCTACCGTGAATCGAATAAATGGCCTCGGCCCTTCTTCTCGTCGTCCAATGTCGTCTCTCCTCCTCGACTTTCCACGTTGGCCACGGCAATAGCTTTCCGTTGCCGCGATGCGATTAACCTTGAGGACTTCCTTTCTCTCTTCCACCTTTCGTTATGGGCAACGCTCGAGTTACGCGGACTACCTTCTTCCCCTCGATCTTGTTCCTCGCTCTTCGAGGGCTGTCGATAGGCATTGGCGCTGTTCGAGCGCCTCTCCTCTGTTACCGAGCTTCGTTCGAGTAATCCTCCGCGTCCTTTATCGCCCTCCCGATTTTTTCGCATCACAATTGGAAATGGAACGATTCAGTTCAGGCGATTCAGCCTCGAAAATTTAGCCATCTGCCTTCCTTCTTATTCTTGTTCAATGGCCCAGTTTCTTGATTCTTGCGAACAGAGGGGAGGAGAGAGGATAAAAGAAAGAAAGATATACGTTGAGAAGTTTCATGATAAATTTCTCAAATTCTGAGAAGCTACGATGAAATGGACGAAGATCGGTGACTCTGATACACTTTTGTGTACGACTTACCGATTCAATCGCGTTAAACGAGGAGAGAAATTTCAATAACAATTATCTTAAATTAACGTCTCCAAAAAAATTGAAGATCCAAGTTACTCCGAGTTAACGATGCTGCGCGCTCTCGAACTCGAGAGAGGTGAGCGCAAGAACGAAAGGAAATCTCGGAACTCGATTCCCGCATCCCGCGCACAGATTACCTACCTCCGCTCCAATCCGATAAATCCTCGGATCACGATCATCTTCCAGGTCGTTACTCGGCCAACCCGATTACCATATCTCGAATTTCTTCGTATTCGAAACGAGGAGGATATACGACGAGATCGAGGTCCACGGATGAATTAATTAAATAATGCTGCTCGATAACGTCTTAATTGCCGCGATCCCTTCCAACGCGTGGAAGGAGAAGGGAGCGAAGGGTGGCGCTCGCGAGAAACGCGATTTAATTAAATTAGCAATTAAAATGTCGGTTGGACGGGCACAGGCTCGCTGCCCCCTTTCGTTCAATCGCTTCGTTTCACGGTGGATCGGCAAACATACGTCGTGCAAACTGGCTGAGTCGCGACTTTTAATCGAAAATGAGCGCGTGCCCTTCTATCCGGTTATCAGTTCGAAGATTTGCGTGATTCGCCGATGTTTCTCGAAACTCTGTTCGCGATTCTTGTTTCTTCTCGCTTCGATTGATCCTCGACTTTTCTTTCTAGTTTGAAGAGGAAGAGAGATTGAGAGATCTTTTTAATCGTTAATCAATCGCGGAGTTTAGAGTGGAATGTAAATCCATTGCAAGTCGATACACGTTTTTTTTTCTTTTTGGTATGGTAGAATTGCTCTATTTCAATAATTGTAATTATCTCGATATGTATTCGAATTTGTTGATTATGGCCAAGTTTATTTCGTTAATTACTTATTATTACGAAATGAATGTTAATTCATGGTTCTGGCTCGATAATGTTGCGGTAATTTAATAGATGATCAAAGAGATTGGAGTAATTGTCTCTATCAAGTAGATAGGATCAAAAGGGATATACAATTTCAATTACTTTCTTTTTTTTTGTGCTTATATTTTTAAATTAAATAATTGAAAATGAAATGAAAAAAATCCTTTCCTCTTCGACAAACAAGAAAAACTTGGAGATATTCACAATCTCAAACATATCAAAAAGAAAAAAGAAAAGGAAAACGCAACAATTGCAATGCCGAAAATAATTCTTCATTCGAGTCGAATTCGTTTCGAATTCCCTCGTATCTCGTAACCCTTTTAAGCCATCGGCTTATCATTCGACGGAATCTATCCGATGCATCCTTGTACGAACGCGCACAAGCGCACATGGTAACGCGCTTGCACACAGAGGGAAAGCTGTCTGCGGGGATCAATTTTAGTTCAGTCAATAATGCCATGAGTTTGTCGAGAGCTACCGCGAGAGCTCGTCGGCCGCATCCCCGTGGGATGATGGTTAAAATTGACGTGTAATTTGAATATCTTTAGCTCCCGTTTGCGAAACGGGAATGAATTAACGGGATGATTCCGTTACCGTTGTTCGTAGCAGTACAAAAGAGCGCGGTTTAATCCTCGTAGACCGTTGTTGTTCATCCGAGACAGCGAAACCGCTCTAGTTTTGATTCTGAGAGGGAATCGGTTTTTCTATATTCATATAAGCCACTTTCGATCATCGAATTTATTTTTGAGACGTTTTGGACGCGTGTTCGTACGGCAAAAAGCGACAAATAATCAACGCTCACGATTTTTTTTTCTCTTTTTTCTCCATCCGTTTCATCGTTCCCATTTCAGTCAATTTTTGTCCAACGATGGCCAACACGTTGAGAGAATATTAATCCTCCCCCTCTCTGATAAATATCAATAATTTCCTCATAACTGTACCGTGGTTAAAATGTATCTTCCTATCTTTAAAATCGAGATCTTGCGAATACATAGAGTTTCTACTTAAACGTCTGACTATCGATAAGCATTCAGGTGCACGATAATTCAATCTCCATCTTGAACGTCGTGTCGTGAGAGAAATCGCGATTTTGTAAGAGTAACGGGTCCAGCGTCGGATTTCTATCACCGAGGAAGAGCGGAGAAGAGCAATTCGAGTGGCTCTATGGGGCGTGTGTATGTACACGCACATACATACACACACGCGCACGCATGGAATTAACGCGATTCCGTCACTTGCCACGAGCGCAAAAGCTCGCGTCAGTTTAATTATCGGGCGAAGGGCGACCCCTTTTGTCCGGCAGCGGAGTTTCGTGGCCGGTTTCGCGCGTTTAAATTCCCCGCACATCCCCCCCCATGATGATTTCAATGGACGGCGAACAGTTCAATGGCGTTCCACGGGAGGGGAGGGGAAGGAGGACGTGGAGCGAAACGCGCGCGCCAATAGTGGAGCGAAAGTGTACGCTTCGATGATTTGTTTTCGATTTTTGATTCCTCTAATTAATCCGTTGTCCCTGATAATTGCGTTTTTGTCCCGTTTGTTCTTTGTCCCCGACCCTGCACGGTTTAGATTGCGCGCCACGTTGTTGGCGGCGGATGCGCGCGCAGTCGTCCCGCCGGGAAATTCGATTCCCGCCGTGTTCTGCGTTCTCGTTCGAAGGGAACAATGGACAGAGGGCGATCGTTTTACGCGTTATCGGGCCTCCTATGCGAAATGCAAACGGGGAAACGGGCTATTGGTGACGATGATTACCTCTGGTCGATACTTCTTTTTTTTTTTTGGAGAAGGGATGATTGAGTTTCGAGAGGGATGAATTTTTTCCTTGATTATGGCTTTCGAACGAGTTACGTATTCGAAATGGTTAAAGATAATTATTGAGAATATTTCGATAATTCTTTATCTCCTTTCACGTGAATAAGTAGTTTAGAGAACATTGAAAAAAGTTATATTAAATTTCTTTAAGTGATTCATTTCTCTAATAAATTGTAATGATTTTAGGTAATTCGATTAATTTGTTCGAAACCATATTCCACATCTAATCGAATATCCAACGCCATAAGATAACAGTAGTATCGCGTAGAAGCCTTCTCAGCCGACGTTATTGCATAATTACCTGCGTATTACGCGCTCACGTTACCAACGATACCGCAAGCTATGCGTTAATACCGCGAAACTTTATCTAAACGGATGCCAAACGTAATCCGCCGCGGGACCCTTCTGATTCATCGAAACAATTTAAACTTCTAGACAGTGGTTCAACTGATCCGTAAGATTCCTCTTTATCTTCTCTATTATTCTCTCATAGAATTGAACATTCTCGTCGTTGAAAAATTACTTCAATTAAAAATCATTGTCACCTTATTATTTCAACTTTATGCGTGAAAGAGAGTCGACCACTCGTGTATATATCATTGATTTCCATCCTATTGTCCATAGTTATTGGAAGGCAAAGGCATAACCATTGATACGAATCCTTATCAATCACAAACTTCATTGGATTAAACTTCAAAACACAACCAAGATCCGTATTCATCGTGTATCGAAGGGAGCGTGAAAATCGTTAAACAATTTACCGACTCGATCCTCGTCCAAGCCTCTTCGTCTCCCTGTTTTGCGTATTATTTACAGTCGGTGACGAGAAGACAAAGACGAGTGAATCACCCGCGCATTTTTCTCTCTCTCGGATAATTGGCGGTCGGCCCTCATTGTGTAACTGTGCAACTCTCCACGATATCGGCCGATCTTCAGACGAGGCTTCGGCCTCGGAACGTTTGCTCCAACAACGAGATAAAAGATACCGGACACGGCCGCATCACCTTCCCTTCTTCTCCCTCTTCCCCGAGAGCTTTCTCTCGAGAGCCTCGTTCGTGGAACGCGGAGGCCTTCTTCCTCGTTACCCGTGTCGTGTTTCGTTCACGAGCGTTCATAACTGTCGATCCAGGGACCCGATCGTTGGTCCGTGCCGATCGTAAACCGAATTTACTGGCGCGATAAGCTCGCCACGCGTTAACCCGCGCTACCGGCCAGATATACTTCTAAATGGATCGGGCAGCTGATAATGGCGCGGATTAGCCAGGGGTAATTTGAATAATGAAAGGCGTTCCCTGATACGGTGAACCGCGTGAAACGGTTGCTTAGAATTACGCCGTCCAATCGGCCATTGGAAAGTCTCGCCTTGGGTATATATAATTTATCTCGTTTCGATCGTCGTTAATCGAAAAGGATACATTTTCGAGAATACATCTTCGATGTATTCAAAAAAAGACGAAAAGAAAATAGGATTAAAGAAAGGATTCTAAAGCACTGTCTATCTTCCAATAATCGATGATGGAAACTCGACTCGAGCAAAAGACAAGGAATTCCAACGACGAGGAGCAATGCAAGGACCGCAAACTAAAAGGAATTCTAATAAAAGGGATACGATTCTTCAAGAAAGAAACGTTACTAAGAAAGTAATTCCAATTTCGATTGATCCAATTCGAAATCTACTCCCTCCTTCCCTCCTCTAAATCTCTGATATTCTCACAAACCCGTTTGCATCACGGCCGAGCACGTATTCACCGACCGCGGTGTTCG